TTCCACAAAAAGCAMCGAAAAATCGTTTACTAATAATTCATAGCATTTTAAAGTTGTTATCTAGTTTTTGAGCAACATGCACTGCTACAACAACTAAATATTTCACAGGTGTGTTGACTTGTGCATTGGCATCACTCTAACTGTCGGTGTGTCATGTGTCGCTTACGAGTCGAATTATTTAAGCATGTAATCCCCACATAATGCCCTGTAACTTAAGTTCATTTCTACGCTTTGCCGAATACACTGTCCCTGTACATATATCTACATATATATATATATACATATATGTATATATTTATGTGTAAGTACTTTGTATTTCCTCCCATGGCAGGGGAGCATTTTTAACGCAATTCAGCGTGAGTAACTAACTTAAATTACTCTGCAAACACCAAGCACTATGCCGCCCTTCGTAATAGCCAACTGTATTCAGTCGCTATTACCGTTATTTACTTACAACAATYATRTATACATATATGCATGTATATGTGCAACTGCATTTTCATGCTCTGCCATAGCTGCCTGCCAGCTATAATCCCTTCATGCCGCAGTCATTATTTCATTTCATATTATCTTTTATTTTTGTCTAATTTGTATTGCACTTTTGTCCAAAACCTTTTTCGGTTTCATTGTCTCKAAAGCTTTTTTCACCTACAAACRTATGTAAATACATATGTATATGCATATGTTTAGAGGTATACATACATATGCGAGTGCTTATTCAAAAATTTCTATTTCTATTTTCAGTTTGCGCTACAGCCTCACCGCATTGCAGTGGTCTTTCGTGTACATCTGTATATATTTACAGTTAAATATATGCATTTAAAGTCTTAAAGGCTTCATTTCCGGCCACAATATTTTTCGACTGCGCAAAGGAAGAGCTTACTGCGCTGCTAACATTTCAAGCGGCATTTAGGTATTCGGCGCTTAACGGATTTTTTAACTTTTGAAAAATATCCGACTGTATAACGGCTCATATTAAACAGAAAAGAATGAGTCAGCAGATGCATTTAAAGCCGGAGCAATTTCGGACTTAAGCACAACTTGTTATAAATAGTATAAACGCTGAAGAGAGGTAGAAGAGAAGGTATTCATATTCAAACTGTGGCAGATATTGGTTTACATTCTTTATTTTATAGTTACGAATATAAGAGGGACTGAAGCCAATCACAGTGAGATTCTAGAAAACAAGAATGCCAAGAATATCCTACAAAGATAAAGAAGTTTCCACAGAAGAACTTAATTTTGATCGTTYAGTTTTTATGACAGCTGTRTGGTATAGTGGGCCGATCTGGAAATTAGATTTTTCAGATATTTTGGCGTTACTTTGGCCAACAATCCCGACCGAATTTCGTGAAGATATCTTGTCAACTAAAATAGTTTTCTTTATAAGCACTTGATTTTTCATTCATCATTCATTCAAAAAGAAAAGATTGAGTAGTTTCAACCTCATCTTCTTTCCCACTACTTCTGCAGATGGCGTAGGATAGTGAAAAACACCGTCTTGGTTTCATTTGAATTGATGGCAAAACCGTTTATGACTGCCCAATTTGTAACGACATTAAGATACCCCTGCGTCAACTCATAAACTGTACTCAGAAACTTTCCTTTGACCAAATGCGCTACATCGTCCATCGYCTGCATAGGCAATCACGGGACACCCTAAAATTCTTCAATTTTTTAAACAGATCGTTAACGAACAGAATCCTTAGAAGAGCAGAGAGAACTCAAAATTGTGGGCTTACCCTACTAACATTCCGTTTCAATCACTCTGCCRCACAGAAGACTGAAAATTAATTGTTTTAAGTTTGATTCAACCCCAAGACGGTTCAGAATAGTTAAGAATTCTTCCGCAGAACGTTATTGAAAGTTTCCATTAGTCAAGAAAGACCTCAACATCAAATTTCTGAACCCTAATGGCTTCCTCAAGCTATGCTGGGATTGTTTGCAGGGCAATATCCACCGACTTACCTTTAAAATAAGCATGTTGCGCTGCTGATAAATGGTCCTTCGGAATACGCYACCTTATGTACAAGTCCATCAGTCTCTCCAGAGTTTTTGTAAGTAGGAGGAGAAGCTGATGGGCCTGAAGTCCTTCGCCGTAGCTATGCTTTACTATCCTATAGTAGTCGAATATGAAAATTTTCCCCACATACTGTAACGTTATATAAGGCAATGATACGTGCATAATTTCGTAAAGATATCTCATCAAATAAAAAAATTGTTCATACAAAAACTTTATTTTATCGCTCAGTTTCTATGACAGCTATATGCTATAGTCAACCGATATCAGCAGTTCTGACAAATGAGCAGGTTTTTGTGGAGAAAAAAACGTATATTATTTCAGATCGAAATTTCAAAAACTGAGGGACTAATTTATTAGTATACACAGGCGGCAAATGCAGCTTATTTATGCCTAAAAGTATGCAATATGACTACTCTATAAACAGTGCAAAGTGTATTCTGATAGGTATTCGTAAATTAATACCATTGCAAATGCACTTCTGCCATAATAATTTCATGACATTTCAATTTGGGAATATGTCGGTCTATTGCCACAAGGCTTGACGTTAGTTCSGTAGCCGCTGGCCTTTTTGCGCTCGCTTCCCTTCCAAACACATTTATGAAGCTATGTAACTTGTTGTCAGCGCACTGGGAGCATGCTGAAATTGTGTCATTCATTGTCGATGTGGAGCAATCAACGTGCATTGTCTGCGTAATTGATRCCTAAACAACGCTCAAGGGCAAGAGCAAATGCAAAAACAACAAGAGCAACAGACGCCATGTCTGCGGTTGCAATTGTAATAAGCATAGATATAAAACTTACATGCCAAACAAACCTTTGCCCACTTGTACGCACAAAAGCAACAACAACATGCTACTGCAAGAACACATACTACTCCCTTGGAATGCACCCTCTGAAAGCAATCACTAACCGGTKATTGMCAAGAAAATTGCAACGAGTCTCGCATTTGCCAAGCGAARCAAAGCCAAATCCGTTCAAGAATGGTAAGGAATTGGAGGCGTAAAAGCGAAAATGTCAACGAACGCAATGTCGACGACGAGGACAATGGCAGTCAGTCAGTCGCAGCTGCAGCCATACCATTTCCTGCCAGCTTTCCTGCAGCCGACGACGGCTCAGCAGCAAAAAACAATGCAAGCCAAGCAGCAAACATACACACACACARGTTGGTGTGGRAGAGAGAGAGGGTGAGAGAGAGAGCGCGTYCAAGTGTGCYGAAGGATGCAGGAATCAACGCYACACAGTTTTCAGCCGGCATGTGTAATGTCTTGCTAAATTTATGTGTGCGCTCGCCATGTAAATTATTAAYACACAGTGACAAGGCATTACAAAATGCTGAGTACAGTAAGGAGTATGTGAAATTAGTAGCAGACAGCAACAAATAACAAAAGCTACACAATTAAATAATATATAGTTCGTATATGGTCGTAGTAGTATGATATTTGTATAGAGCAGTAGAATGCGGTCTCGTGGAAGCATGTGTAGTACGTACGCCTGAGTAAATGAGTATGTTTTGGTTTGTGCCGCACGGCATAGCTWTAGTTGTGATTACTCGTAGTGGGTGGCTGCCTATGTAACAACAACTTCAACAACGCTAACGGTGAATTACGCAGTGCAACAACAACAACTTTACAATTTTGAATGAAAAGCTCTACTACAGTGTASTACGCGTGTATGGCTGAATATCTACATATGTGTATAAGGAGGCGAAGTAGTGGCGTGTAGGGTGGCAAATCAACGACAGAGAGAGAGAGAGAGTGAGAATTGCTTTTCAGAATTACTTTTTTTACAACTTAAACGTGTAGCGAGCTCTATTTACTATTTGCTGAGCGTTGCTCTTTGGAGACTTTCTCTCTATTGTCGMCAACGCCATTACTGACACCCACCGCCAACGCCACAGCACGCTAACGGCACTTTGCATTCAACGATTAAAAAGCACGAATGTTGGTAGACTGTTGGCTGGCAGTCTAAAAAAATGCCTTAAGGCAGAAAAAAATTCCTTTGGGGTCTATGGGCGGCTAAGCGCGTTGAGAGTTAAGAAAAATTAGCAAAATTATGAACTAAAGCGGCTTTAATTGCAAGCGTTCAATAGCCAAGTGATAATAATAAAAAAGCGATATTTTTTGTCAACAACTATGTGCAAAATATTTTTTTCTCGAGGCAAACCAAGCTCGCGCTTTTAAGTTGCTGCGAACTGAGCGTAGACAACACATAGTRTGTAATGGAGGGAGTTACAATATATATGTATGTGTATAATATTACAATAAATATTTAAGTATATCATCACCTAAAATACAAAACAACGTAACATCACTTTTCATAAGTTTACAGGTGGAGGAAAAAGAATGTAATAGAAACATTMAAATTTAGACAAAATTTGAGTATTGGTTACAAATTGGTTACATATTGGTTATCAAACACTTATATTGAAACAAAATTAGAGTTTTCATTATAAAATGGTTCTATATTTGTTRTCATACACTTTTACGAAATTTAAGTTTTGGTTATAAAATGGTTACATATTGGTTATCAAACACTTATATTGAAACAAAATTAGAGTTTTCATTATAAAATGGTTCTATATTTTTTATCGTACTTTATTACGAAATTTATGTTTGGGTTATAAAATGGTTACATATTGGTTATCAAACACTTATATTGAAACAAAATTAGAGTTTTCATTATAAAATGGTTCTATATTTGTTATCGTACTTTATTACGAAATTTATGTTTGGGTTATAAAGTGGTTATGTATGGGTTATAAATTGGTKATATATTGGTTACATATTGCTTACATATTGGTTATAATTGAGAGTGGGAGCTAAAAATTGTATGCTACGTATATAATATGACGCAGTGAATCATAAGCAATAAAAAACTCCATTTAGATTTTTTACGATACCTTGTTTTGCACTCTAGGTGACGATATACTATATATATAAATATACATACATATATATATATAATAAAATCTACTTACATTTTTTAGACCAAATGTTCGTTGTTTACATGCCAACACCACGTTGTTACTCAGAGGCSTTCACAGACAAAAAATGTTTCAACAAATATTTTCTATTAAACACTTTGCACTATCACCAAATTTTTTGATCATTATTACCAAATTATCTATTTTTGTTTTTATTATTATTATGATTTTTTTTTTGCTTATCGCTTCCTATTATTATTATTATTCCGTCATAAATAATTACACAGCAGGCATGGCATGCACAGCGCCTGCGCAATTTTTCGCTACTGCGCCACTTTCAGCACGCTTCTTTCAGCACACAGCAAGGAAGAGTCCCGACACCGATGCYGACACACAAACGCGAGCTTTTTTAAGTGCCTTTTGTGCGTGTGTATGCGAAATATTGCCGATGTATTGGTATGCCAATTTACATACTTCTACGCTCGCACATATAGAGTCGGTCGCGCGTCGCACACAATAAATTATAGAGCAACAACAATTATGTCTGCACTCTTTGATTTTCCACAGCTCGTGTTTTTCCGGAAGTCTCGCGACGCCGTTTTGTTGCTTCATTAAATACGCAAATTTGCACACTTCAAAGCACAAGTCCAACAAAAATTTTTGTAACCAAATGCACTTTAGTATTATTCACTTTATTGGCACCACTAATTGCGGGGATACGCGTCAGCACCCACGCCACCATACCACGCGCACACACAAATCAACACAAACTTACACATTACACCAGTCCATACACAGATATAATTATAACACTKAACACTTAATTTAAACCGCCACGMCGCGTMCCAYGCACGATTTACACATCCTTTATCCGCGAATGTTCGCTCGCAACTGAGTTTATGCAGTGGCGCTGCATCGAATTTTAAATCTCCAATARGCAGCAATAGTGTTAGGAAAGCTTATACAGAGCACAGTGTGTTGGCTCGCGCACTCTTCGTGTGCGTTGTGTTTGTTTGCAGTGGCGCTCTCTTTTATCCTGCGCTTGCAAAGCAGAGTAACCAATTGAGCTTAAATTAATATGTTGTATTTGGATTTGGGAKATATTTTTTATATGACTGCTAGTCGCTCAATTTTTGAGTTAACGCTCTGAGACTTTTTACACGTACTTTTCCACTCAAGAGGATGCTTCTTTGTTGGCGCTGCCGWTATCGGTTCACTATAGCATATAGCTGTCATATAAACTGAAAGATCGCGCGTAAATTCTTGTATGAAACTATTTTTTATTTGAAGAGATATCTTCACGAAATTTGACATGGATTATTGCCCAAAATATTGCTATATAATTTGAAAAACATTTTCCAAATCTGACGATTTTTATATATGGCTGCCATACAAACTGAAGGATCAAAATTAAGTTCATATATGAAAAACTTTTTTATTTCACACCAAATTTGGCTTGATTTCCTGCTTAAGAAATCATAGCCATATATCGTGAAATTGTTTTAGATCGGACAATTATATTATATAGCTATAATAAACTGAACGATCAAGTGCTCTTATTATACTCCTTCAACATGGTGCTACAGAGTATTATAGTTTTGTTCACCTGACGTTTGTAGGTATCAGCTAAAACTTATCCAGATRGATATAGAGTTATATATGAATGTTCACGATGACGAGACGAGTTGAAACCTGGATGAGTGTATGTCTGTCCGCGCGTTCGTCAGTCCGTGCAACCTGTAACTTGAGTAAAAAATTGAGATATCATGATGAAACTTGGTATATAGGTTCGAAAAAAAAATTGAGTTCCTTGGTGGACGTAGTCGGACCACTGCCACGCCCACAAAAAGTCTCAGCCGTAAACCTATAAAGTGCCATAACTAAGCATAAACTTAAAATATAAGACTCTAATTTGACACAGGGTATTGCAGTGTCAAGGCGCACATGTGGTTAAAATTCTTTGAGAAAGTGTGAGTGGTTCCACTCTCATGTTTAATGTCATATCTGCTCAACCACTCATGCTACAACAACCAAATTTGTCGACTGCAAATATTTTAGAAGCTCCTAACGACAATGTGAACATGCATGAAATCGGAAAATGACCCTGCTCACTCCTATGTATTATAACGATACTGTTAAAAACTACTAAAAGTGCAATAAATCCATAACTAATTGTGCCAAAAACATWAAGTTTTGCTTTAGAGTTGCTATACGAGGGCTTTATGGCACACAGTGTGAAAATTGGACGATAAGCTTGAAAGCATGCAGTCTTTGATCAAATTTTTCAGTAATAATTATTTTAGAGTGTTTGACTTGTGACAGTGTAGCTTGATACTTGAGATAGAATAAAATTGGGTAAAAACTTGACCTATCCCCTACGTAACTAATATTCGAATTTTCGACCATCTGGCTGACTTTACTCGATAAAATTGGTGTTTAGACTTATGTGAGGTATCTTAAGGGGTTCTATATAGTTAGAATTTTAAAAAATTCGATGAGTTTTAGAAACCGCCATTTTGTCCAAAAAATTTTGCTTATTCCTCCAATTAATCTAAAAATCTGTTAGTTTTTTCAATTTCAGAATATCCAGTTCAGATATATAATGGTCACCGCCGCCTTTTTTTAAAGGAGTTCAACTGTAATTCCTTTCAAAATCAATATTTTTTCTACTACTGAGGCTTCGATTGCCCCGAAATTAGCGTTTCCTTACTTTTTTATTAAAATTTTAGTGTATTTAAAAGCTACATGCTGTAAAGCTAATCTGTCAGCTATTTTTCCATTTAAAATTGATGGTTTATGTGCATCAACTCATTTCGAAAATTTTGAGTTAAGACGTTTTTGTATTTAGTGTGCGACAGAACCGAAATGCTAAATCGTGCAGATAACATTAGTTAACAGTAACATATGCTGTAAAAAGTTTAACTTAACAGAAAGCTTTGTCAAAGCTTTTAATTTTCACAGATATTTTTCAACGCTGTAAATTTGTTGGTTTTAATTAATGGTTCAATATAAATAAATTCCATCATTTTTTCAACATATTTAGTTTAATTAGTATTTTTATTATTATTTTTATTCAAAAGTCGCATATTAAATATTTTTTTACAGAAATTGAACCCGCAATTAAATGCTGTGTGAAATTTGCTCGTACAAATGTATATACCTGGCAAAGGAATATCAGTAACTAAAGCGTGTAACCTTAAGACTTGCTAGCTCTAATTGCATTTTGGTAGCATTATTAGTTCGTRGAATCTTTGGTGAAAAATCTGCTGATGCAATTTGCGCCAATCAGCTATCATTTGAAATAAGAACCATTCATACATGCAAACATACAAATATTTCATGCCCTCACAGGGCGCTACAATCAATTTACTACACCTTTGACGTTACACAAATTTAAAGAAAAAGAGAGCGCGCTAATGTAAGCAACAAGAGAGCGAGCGTGGTGTGGCGTAGAGTGACCTACCTTAATCAAAAGTCAGATTATTGCTTTATTTTTATAGAATTTGCATTTGAAAAACATTTGCTTTTGCGTACATTCTCTAAGTACAACATATCGTCTAAACCGTGCTAAACCGTGAAAAAACGTAACATAACATAAATTTGAGTTTTTTTTATAAAATAGTAATACTATATATTCACACTCATTTTGAAAGACAGTTAGAGGTTTGGTTATAAAATGGTCATTATATTGAAACAAAATTTGAGTTTTGGTTATAAAATGGTTATATATTAGTTATAAAATGGTTATATATTAGTTATAAAATGGTTACACATTGGTTATCATACACTCATATCGAAACAAAATTTTACTTTTGCTTATAAAATGATTATATAATATGTCGGTTATGATACACTCATAAAAAAAATTTTAGCTTTGGTTATAAATTGGTTATATATTGGTTATCATATCTGACAACGATTTTCATTTTTTTTCATCATACATTATTTTGCATTTTAGATGACGTTATATATATGCTTTTAACTCAAATTATTTTCAGCTCGAAAAGAGGCGRTAACCCTTGCGCTCTCTTAGTTCGTCGCGCGTCAGCTGTTCCAATTGCACGTGCTCTTTGCAGAGACCAAAAAACCACTGCGACCGGCGAAAAGCAACCACATCCATACATACGATATCATTTGTGCATGCTTAGGTATATCTAATATATCTTAGACAACACCTAAGGTTTCGATATTCGCATGTGAAACGTCCACTCGTAGGAACGCGACATGAGCACGCTCCAGCTATTACCGGTCGCCGCGTATTTAGTGAACAGTTTATTACTTAATCAGCAATAAAATATATGCGGCAGTGATTTAATTTTGCAAAAACAAAAAATACAATAAATAAAAATACACTAATTTAAGTGAGTTGAAGCGAAGCAACAAWTCGGCGCAGAAATGGAGGAGTTTTTGGAAAGTTGTGGGTAAGAGAAGCAGCCGTGCCTATTGCTAGTAAGAATTTCTTACCTGACAGCGCTGAAATAGGTGGAATAGAAGACGCATATTAGCAGACAAATGWTTGTGTGAATCTATTGTATTGATGTATCGTATCACTCTGCCTACGTTGCAGCTGTCTAATAGAAATGAATTTGGTCGCACAAAAAGATACCAAAAAGAAAATGATTTAATTTTTGCGGTTATGTGCCAAGCAAATGTGCAGCGCATGCACCTGAATTAGTGCATTTGTACGAGCGTATAAGCGATATGCTATTTTTATTACGCGCGCAGCTAAATTTAGGCTTGCAGACGTATTCCCCCAACAACAACAACGAAATTCTATTATCACGCATATGATTGCTATGCCATGTGGGAAGTGTACATACAGACTTACATATTTACAAAATATTGAACATTTTCAGTTGACTTACTAAGTCACTAGCTAGTAGTGGGTTTTAGTAATTGGAAGAGCGCACAGCACATGCTTGATGGTTGCGAAGAGAGAGGGTGAGAAAGATAAGAGCGCGCTGACGTACATATATTGAATGTTTTGTTGGCAAATTTTGGTTTACGCAGAGTTGCCGTGTTAGGTTTCGTTTTTGTTCACCACAAAAAGCCTATAAACTGAAAAATTTCACTTAAAAAAAATTAAAAAAAAAAAGTTTAAAAAGCATGCCTGACTCATAAATTATTAATAGCAACAAATAACAAAAAAGTGCTGAATTTGGGTAAACTCGCAATTTTCAGACCTCAAAGGCGGGAAAATTCTTTTCATATTTCAATGATAAAACTGTTAGGTTGACGGTTATTTTCAGTAAAGGATTCGCAATAGGAACTGAGGTACAGGTACTCAGTATCTGGTTACTTGCATAGTTGTGGCCCGATTTGAACACTTTTTGGTCATAAGGCAGCACACCTCAAAACCACTATTCGGCAAAGTTTTATCATACATTAATTGGTGTTTGACTTTTATACCGGAAATTAAAAGAGTCGGACGGAATTAAACTAAGTGTTATGTAGGAAGTAGGCATAGTTTTGTCTGATTTCGTTCAGTGCTGTAATGTTGGAATRTAGGTACAAAATTACCTACCGAATTTGTTTGAAATCGACACCGCTTGACACCGCTATCTCCATGGCCCGACTCCGTCGAAACAGCATGTTGTCTGGGCCTACCGTTGAATGATCTCGATAACAATTTATCTAATCCTTACCATCCTAACGGGACTAGGTAAACATTACAACAACAACAAAACTCACAATCCAGACTCCTGTGCCAAATTATACATTTCAGATGTTAGCCCCGGATTCAACTCGTTTCGTCAGCCTGATCATTCACATATACATATGTATGTACATTTATAACTCCCAGCTATCTCGTTTGGATTTAGGTGATATATGAATGTATATATAATATTATGGATGTATGTGTTAAGCTAGGATCGATGGCTGATCCAGGCGTCGTACCTGGACTATTATATTCAGTCTTTTATGAAACTATAAAAATAGAGCTCGTCTATCCAATCTTATAAGCCGGTTTACAATAGCTTTGTCCCCAATACAAATTTACTTAGCTGTTTAATTTCCATTCTCAAAATCTCGCTGAATTGTCTGAAAGTGTGAGTTTCTAAGAATCTAAACACTGATCTCGCGCGACACTTCGTCTTACATACAGCTACACCAATTGGCATCCGGTAAGACTCTCAATCTTACGGCGTGAACGCCGATAGAAAAATGGCATATTGAAACCTCCACAACGAGGAACAAAAACTCACTGAATCTCTAACGACCGGCTAGTGAAGCTCATTTATGCAGTATCACCTAGACAACATGTAGAGAGTGGATGCCTTCCCACTTCACTATTAGCGAAACTAAGAAGCCAGCTCTTCAACTTTACTGTTGCCTACRATTCCGCTGTGGCAAAACCAGACAGACCCATAATAGCTTTATCACAAAATGACTATATGCCATTGATAAAGAGGTTATGCCACCCTTAACGAGTTTTCAACACATGGTTAATGAACTGTATGTCAATATAACGGAAGTGTGTTTTTTTGAAATTAAATTAAGTTATTTCTTSATTTGTCCACCTAATGTTGTCTCCTTCAAAATAGTACCCATTCGATTCAATGCACTTACATATATCAGCGCTTCTTCCAATTGGTGAAAACTTCACGATTCTCACAAACTCAAATTTTTGGATAGTCTTCAGTTCTTTCAATGATGTACATTAAACTATAGAGTAAACAACCGGTTATTTAACCCATAGATGGCTTGCAGGTTATAAAGATTACGACAGCCTCGGTCTGTTGCTTTCTGTTGGTTTCACAGAAAAATGCTATAGAACGTCATGGAGGAGAGAAAGATTTAATTTAACTAAGAAAGTTCCCCAACAATTTGTGAGTTACACTGCTTCTCTGGTTTATAGCTCAGTTTGGCTGCCAATCGCTTCACTCAGAAAGTTGTAGGGATGTAGGCTGGTAGAAACATTACCTCAAATCAGGACCTCAAAAACCACTTGTACCAGTTTAATGTCCCTAAGAATCACACATTTTATAAGCGTGACTTCTATCACTTGCCTGAAAGTTGGCAAAACGTATTAGACGAAAATGGAATATAATTTCATAAAATGTTTTACAGAATAAGGAAATAGTCTTTAAATTGTACTAAAAATAACGAAACTACTTTGTGAACGACCCAATACTTTGCTATTATTCATAATCAGTGAGTATCTCTTAAACCGGGTAATAAGTGAGTTAATAAATGCGTAGCGAGCACAAAATTAAAATTTTCAAAAATATCAAAAYAACTTCACTTCAGCATCACACACAGCTTTTCAACCCCTTTTAAATGCTTCATTCACATATGTATGCCTGTGTGTGTTCATTTCTTACCCGCAGCCACGTAAAAGCTTTCATGAAAAAGCTTTGGCTACGTTACAATTTTACGCGCTAAAATTTYGTGCTTTCAGTAATTTACAAAAGTGGCTTGCGACTTGGCAGCTGTGTGATTTACCGTCTGCGTGTCAAATCGTCAGCGACGCTCAAGCCGAAAAGAAGCCAATTGATCAGCAGATCACAAGCTATTGACATACACGAATCAATCGTAATAGACTAGTGCCCATAGGCTGTGATAGTTTTTATAGATTTTTATTGCTGGATTTTAAATGAAAGACGCTCAAAACGGCTGTACAAGAGGATAAAACGCATTGTAGGCTGTACTAGTGAAGGTCGAAAATTAAATAGTGCGTGTGAATTTATATTTCTTTTCGCCACAAGAAGCAAAGGTATTTGTTTGTGTGAAAATTAAAAATTATGGTACATACGTACATATATTATTATAGTCTATGGAACGAACAATTTGTGTGCCGCATACATAAATATGTATGTACATACATAGCTACGAACTTACAAAAAAAATATAAAAATATGCTTAACTTTTTTAATTTAAAAAAATTCACAAAAATTTGAGAAAATTTAAAAAAAATTTTAAATTAAAAAAATTTGAAAGAAAAATTTAATTAAGAAAATTTAGAAATATTAAAACAATTTAAAATAAAATTTAAAACAAAATCGTTTTAAATTAAAAAAATTTAAATAATTAAAAATAATTTTAAAAAAATATCCAAAAAATTATTTAAAAAAATTTTATAAAGTTAAAAAATATCAAAAAAACTATTTAAAAAAAATTTTCATAACAAAATAAAAAAAAATGAAAAACAAAAAACATGTAGGAAGCGAAAGTTTTACTTTAATTTGCGCAATTTTAATGTAAATAGTAAAAATATTAAAAAAAAAAAAACATGCTTGCATCACTCAGCTGCGCGCTAAAAATTCTGCTTACAATGGCATCAGCAATTCTTCGAAGGTCTTGAGCGCAGAGAGCTGCATTCTTACCACACAGAAATGCAATGCTTTTGAAATTTCGGTACATACGCGTAGTTCTTTGTTTTTGTTTTTCGGATTTGTTTTCGCATATGTTTTCGGTTTGGTTTGCTGCAGCAAAAATCGTACAGCTATCTTCCAAAAATATACAACGCACTTTGTAGAGCCCGCGTTAGTCAACTTGCCGATTTGTTAGCACCCCACACTCATAAAAAATTTTTTTTCTTAGTTATAACCATAATCTATAAAATGCTTAATTGATCATTATATTAACTTATTTGCCACAAAAACCTGTAGAGAAAAGGTGCTAATCAAATAATGGTGAAATTTCTTTTATTGTTTATGTGTTAACTGTACATTTGTTCCAAGCGTAAGCGTAACTTGTGATCGATGCTGTTTTGTAAATTTGATCGATTGCGAACCTATAAAAGGATATAAGTATATATCATATACATATACCTTTAAACTACTAATGAACCTATTCAGGTTTGACTTAAGCCTCTAATTTCTACTTTATATTGTTAAGCTGCGCAAATAGTTTGAATTTCAAACGTGCTAACTGCTTTATTGGTTTCGCTTTGTAGAATATGGAGTATTTGAAATTTCGCTTAATAAAGTGATATATATATATATGTATATATAGTGACGTAAATATATATGACTAAATGCAGGTGAAATTTGAAATTTTAACATTAGTCGAACCAAGCACTCCTCGAAGCAACAGTGTATTCGTACCGTACCTAAACGTGACTTATCATACAAAAGCCTCACACCTAAAATGCATGGTAAACAAGTCATAAAAAATATATAATATTTAACAAAATTGCTTCCGCTCCAACTACTGCAACTAAGTAAAACTCAAACAATTTCTTATTCCCACCCACAGCATGCCTTCGCTTAGCATATCCGGCGCCTATCATGTATTAACGCGACGCAAACCCATGGAGGATACAACCGAGTCCAAATTAGCCAAGGTACTGTCGGCATTTGATCTCACCGCACTCGGCATTGGCTCAACATTAGGTGTGGGCGTTTATGTGCTCGCCGGCGAAGTTTCGAAGGTCTATGCTGGACCGGCGGTCGTTATAAGTTTTCTCATCGCCGCTATTGCATCGATATTTGCCGGCCTCTGCTATGCCGAGTTTGGTGCGCGTGTGCCAAAAGCTGGTTCGGCATATATATACAGTTATGTAACAATTGGCGAATTCATGGCGTTCATTATTGGCTGGAATCTTATATTGGAGTATGCAATCGGTGAGTAAACGGTTAATTATAGCTAGAACAGGGTGTATTATGTTGCCCACTAAGTTCAAACAACCTGAAGGAAACGTCAAAGATCGTATGAATGCTTATATAAATATAATCAGCGTGACGACCTAAGTTGATTTAGTTAGTCCATCAGTTCCTTTGGTTCCAAATACGCGAAATAGTCCCTTGGAAGTGGGCTATCGGTATCAAGTACTCGTATGGAAAACTTTTTCATTTGACGAGATATAACCAAGAAATTTAGCATGAGTTATGGTATAAAGTAACGATACAATCTCCGAGGAAACTGTTGAGTTCGGATCATTATGACTTATAGCTGCCATACAAACTGAGCGTTCGGTATCAAGTGCTTGTATGGAAAACTTTTGCATTTGAGAAGATAGCTTCAAGAAATTTCACACAGACTATCACCCAAAGCAAAAATATATTTTTAGAAGTAATGGTTTGGATCGGAACACTATAGCATATAGCTGTCATACAAATTGAACGAACGATAGCAAGTACTTGTATGAAAAACTTTTTCATTTGATGAGTTATATTCAAGAAACTCAGCAGGAATCATTGCTTAAGACGTTGGTGTAATCTCCGAGGAAATGGTTTAGATCGGAGCACTATATCACGTAGCTGCCATACAAACTAAACGATCAAATTCTTCTAAGGAGTATTTGTGAAGGGTATTATGGCTTCCGTACGATCGAAGTTAACGTTTTTGCATATTCTATTTCTATAAATATATATCTTCAAAATCTCAGAAAGCACGCTTGAGCCCTAACAACAATGTTGAACTTGCACGCACATGTCGTTCCCAAATTTGTTTCGGTTTCCAATTCGACTTTGGAGCACCCTTAATTGAGTGTAATTTACGTCGCGTTTTCCAATTTAATGCTGCTGTATATACACATACATATACATTATGTGCGTAAACACATATAAACACTCATACATATAGATATATATTCGCATATACATGCAAAGGCGCTAGAGCATCACACTGCTTTGTATGTGTGCGCTCTGGAATGAACAACTCACTTCGATCTTTGATGTCTAATTGAAAATATTTGCACAAACACAGCAACAACTTGCAAGAATCACACTCATATTTATGCCATTGATAATTGTGGAGCTCTTTGGATATTTAGTAAGTTCAGGTTTCTTGTCGGTTTCAGCCAATACTAACTGGCTTGGGTGCCAAAGTGCTGGCAGCGCTAATTTTCGCCATGAAACTTTTCATTTCAGTGTCACTTTTAACGAAACAACACATTAAAATAAATATGTCAACTACTTTCTTACACTTTTTCTCTCCCGCTCGCACTCTCTCTCTCCCTTCTTGTAACTAAAGGTGGCGCCAGTGTGGTCAAAGGATTGAGCACGTATTTGGACAAGCTCTTCAATTATGCGATGCGCGATTATTTAAGCAAGAATTTCGCAATGAACATTGAGGGTCTTGGCGACTATCCGGATTTCTTTGCGCTCATCGTTACGGTGCTTTTTGCATTGGCCATTGCAGTGGGTGCCAAGGAGTCGTCGCGTTTGAATAACGTCTTCACATTCCTCAATTTGAGTGTTGTGCTCTTTGTGATCATTGCCGGGCTCTTTAAAGGTAGCGTCTCAAAATGCGTTCCCACATCTAATTAAACTAATATTTAATACTTTTGCGCCACACAGTTTCGCTCAGCAACTGGTCCATACCGAAATCGGCGGTTCCCGAGGGTTACGGTAATGGCGGTTTCAGTCCATATGGTTTGACGGGCATCATACGCGGCGCTGCGGTTTGTTTTTATGGATTTATTGGTTTTGATTGCATCGCGACGGCCGGTGAAGAGGCCAAGAATCCCAAGAAATCCATACCTTTTGCCGTGGTCACCTCGCTCGCAACGATTTTCCTCGCTTACTTCGGCGTCTCCACAGTGCTCACTATGATGCTGCCGTACTACGAGCAGGACGAACAAGCGCCGTTGCCGCATGTCTTCAGTCGCTACGGCTGGTGGGTTGCCGAATATTTGGTAACAATTGGCGCGCTGTGTGGTCTATGTGCCAGCATGATGGGCGCCATGTTCCCATTGCCGCGCATAGTTTTTGCCATGGCCTCAGATGGACTGCTCTTCAAGTGYATGGGTGAGATTAGTCAGCGCTTTAAAACTCCCTTCAAAGGCACGCTGATCACTGGCGTGCTCACCGGACTGCTAGCTGCCATCTTCAAACTCAGTCAGCTGGTTAGCATYATGTCGATCGGCACGCTTTTGGCCTACTCGATGGTGGCGAGCTGTGTACTCATATTACGCTACGACRGTGAYGACCGCAGAGATGGTCGTGGTATCGGCACTGGACGTGCCTTGACCGACCGCGCTCAAACCAATTGCAATCTTTGGCGTCAGTTATTCAACACCAACAATATAACGGTGGCGAATGGAAGGAGYGGTAGACTGGTGACTTTTCTGATAACATTATACTGTAAGTTGTATAAACTTTAGTGTGTTGATGTCGTCATTATTAATATCTTTCTTTTTTGGATTTCAGTTACTTGGTGTTTTGTATTCTCGCACTTTCTTCARAAGGTGGAAGTCGAACCAAGCAATATAACTCCATCTTACATAGTGCTGCTAGTCATCACTGGCCTGCCTTTACCGCTGATATTGTTCATCATTTCACGTCAGCCACGCTCCAGTACCCAGTTGGCGTTCAAAGTGCCACTGGTGCCTTGGCTGCCCGGTCTTTCAATCTTCATCAATGTCTACCTGATGGTGCGTCTGGACGTAATGACCTGGGTGCGCTTCGGCATTTGGATCGCCATCGGTCTGCTAATCTACTTCAGTTATGGCATACGTTATAGCCGTCAGCGCAAGCGTGAATCTCGCCTGGTACTACAAGAAGCGACGGAGAACAGTGAGTCCGGTCTGCCACTACATAACGATTACACCGAAGTTCCGCTCATAATCATGAATAATACAAGTTAAAAAGCAATGACAGCGTACCGAAATTGTTAAACAAAACCTTTAACGGTAGCATGTATTAATCAGTTAGGTACAGAAAACGGYCTTGTTACAAGAAAAGGGCTCGAAGTGTCCGATAACCGTAGTTTTATAATAGTCTAGCATTAACTTAAGTTAGTTTACTTTTCCTAGTATATCAGTAATCGCAAGCTCGTGACAGCCCCGTAGGGCAACGTGACTGAAACCAAAAACTCATTAATTACTAAAAGTAATGGAAGTAATTCAAAGGGTTGGGTGTAGTCGGAGGCATGAAAAACTCACAAATTTCACTTATGATTTATTCCCGATTTCGAGAAAATGCCAATAGTTAAYTAAAATTGTGAAATTTGAATGAAATCTATAGAGCGGTTTTCGAGTTACAGTAGTCAACAGTTAAAAATATATGGTTCATCTCAAAACGCATTTGAAGCGTCCGAGAACGCTTTACTAATTATCGCATAGCTCGAAAGGAAAGTATTTGCCAGATTTACTTCAAACTTKCTCTATTTCTAAGTTATGATACCTAATGAAATTAAAATTTTTTTGGCAATTCTAACTACCCTTAACGCTTTAAAGCTACTCTACAAAGATATCTCAACAGCACATTAAATCAACAAAGACTATCCCACCTATTTCGCTAGGTCAGCGTTGCATTTGTCAAAAACAAAGTTAAGAAACTTAAAAAACATAAAAATAAATGTAGTGGCGTATGAAGGGGGAGTGGCTGCGGATTTGACAGCCAAATAATACAAAAATTTTGCAAAATCGGAGTGTTTTTAATTAAAAGTTCAGCAGAATTTGCGAAGTAAAATCGATATAGTATTAAAAATGTGTTGGCAGAAAAAGCTCCCCCAAAAAAAAATTCTGGTTCCACTACTGAAAGGTAGTATATTAATAAAAAGCTTTCTTTCGCCGAATTTTGATTTTGAATATTTATATGCATTTGTTACATWATATATTAGTAATAGTTATATATTTGGGTATACAGTTACTATTATTATGGTAATTAGCCAGTAATATACCGATTTGTATTTTTTTCATTGCTCAAACGAGTGAAAATTATTTATTCAGAAAATTAACTAAGCGTACTTAAATCTTAAATTTTGCAAAAATGCTCTTAAGCTTTTTAAAAGCTACTAGGTGCTACCAGCAAGCAATTTTTCTGTTAAAATAAAATAGCACTGCAAATGATATTTAACTTAATAAAACCTAACTTGAGGTATTTTGTTTTAATAATTGGTCAAGATTTTTTTAATGAACTTCTTTAAGTTCTCAAGAAGCTGTCCCACCACGGTTTTGTGGGTGGTGATGGCCTRAATGGAGTACTACTTCAACTCAATGGAGTAGGATTGAAAGCAATAGCATATGCAGACCTAATAGTGTTGATAGTATCAGCGAKGCTTACTTCTATGAGAATATTATCGTTTYCAAATGTTGGCCRCWKCTACGYCTCAGATAATCCATCTGTTGAGTCCAATTTTTGATGACTCGTTCGAGCATTTGGACTGGTAGATGGGGAAYGACACACCTGATGTTTCGCTCCTAGCCTATGGTATGGCTGTCCGCAAAAAACATAACGAATATAAGCAGAGTTCATCAGAGCATCAAATGGTTTGATGGCAATAACGCAACGAGAGAGCAAGATTATAAAGGTTCTACGAAAGTACATCAACAAAATGAAAGAATTGAGCTCAGAGTGACAGTACTCCTACGTATTTGTCTATTTCCAGCATATTTTGCTCGTCCAAATTATATTTAAACACAAAAGTATTTTTCTACCAAAAGAGGGCATTGACTCACCCACAAAATTTACTGCCATCTCATTGATTTATAAGCGTCGACATGAAAACAATAGAAGCCACCCGAACCTTTGTTTGATAAGCAGTTGTCTACTTAATGAATTAGAACAGCACAYCACAATAGGCACGCGGGACTCACGGGGACTAAAACAAACTTAATGTATTTAAATAATTTACAATTACGGGAATTACAAAGCGTTTAAAATAGCAATTACATAGCGAGATAGTGAGCGTGAGAGCAAAGCGAGTGAGTATTAGCAAAAATTATATTATAATTAAGTAATCAAATAAATATATATTATTAGAATTATCATTTAAATAAAAGCGTGTGAGCTAAGGCTTGGTTGTAAGCTTCTTCATTTGAAATATAAAGTCCAGAGTTATGCATAAGACAAGCTTTTAAGTTGCCGGACCACTAWAGTATATTTAAGCTGAGATCTTTGCTATTGTGAAAGCCGCGGAGCTGGCCTCTAATGCATCTGCTGGCACTTCCCGAGTCATCATTTACATATATATCGAAGTAGCAACTAAAGCAGTAACCTTGTATCGCATATCAGCCAGAAATGTCTTGAAAATCASSGCAGCAGTGGAAAGTGTTGCCAGAGATTGCTAAGAATGATGTACAGCTTTTTCTTCAAAAGATTCATATAATTTGTTGAAATCGGGTCACTATAGCACATAGCTGCCATACAAATTGAACGTTCAATATTAAGCACTTGTATGAAAAACTCTTTTATTTGACAAGATATCTTCACGAGATTTGACACAGATTATTTTTCATAGCAAAGTTAGAAACTCTGAAGAAATTGTTCAGATCGRATCACTATAGCACATAGCTGCCATACAAATTGAACGTTCAATATTAAGCTCTTGTATGACAAACTGCTTTATTCATGAGGGGTATACTAGGTTCGGTGCACGCACAGTTAAGGTTTTTTCTTGCTTAAGTACCAGTCAACAAAATGTGATGCGGCATTTTCGTGGCGTCTGATAAGTGCGCGCTGCTTTTCACGTAGCCAGACACCAGCGGCAGAACGCGTATCTTATCACCATTGACTGACAAAGAGCCAGAGCAACGGAGAACGCAGCAGAGCAGCAACCAACTACCACCTAAGGTAAATATGGCAGCTTACCGTTGTTTTTAATACATACAAACATGCATAAAGACATACTACTACAACTGCAAACAACCATACACGCGCACATACAACAACAGAGGGTTTCGTAATTACGCTGTATTTTCTAGGTAAGGATTTAGAGCTAAAAAAAACTCAACACTAACCCGCTTAGTAGCAGTTTTTGCAACTAAAAAGCTTAAAAGTTCATATTTGTAGGCATTGTAAAGATTTGATTATGCGCAAATTGTTAATATGAGAGCGCCTGCGTCGAAATTATTCTAACGTAATGTCAACAATCATACTATCATTGGTAAACAGAGAGTAGCAGAGCAGCGTTTGCCCTTCGACAACTGCTTATAGTACAATAACAGCAACAAGGCAGCGCGCAGCCAATACATGGGGCTGCGTGCGCGCTGCTCCACTTGTTTACAGGTGCAGTCGAGGGTTGAAAGGGAGGGTGACGAAGCCTGCTAGCGTGTACGTTGTGGGCCAACAGGTGCTCGGCGCGCTAGCGCTCGGTGCTCAGTCAGTCGTAGCTCAGCAATCGCAGCGCTTGAAAGTCTCGAAAGTGTCGGTATCGGGTTTGCCGGTTGTAATCAYTTTAATGGCCGTAAATTCTCACAAGACGTGCGCTTATCTCAGTAATCARAAGCAATTTTTTTTCRATTGTCGTTTCCAGCTTCGTGCGCCGTCGTCTGTTCGGCCAGCTTCAATTTGGTTAGTCACTGCACTAGCACGGATATCTTGCTGATAGTGTTGGCTCGAGATACAGCTTATTTGCATTTGTTTTTTTTCAGCGCGCTTCTCGCATTCTAGCCGCAATTAGCGTTRTTATATTTTTTTTGCGAACTGTAACTGAAACTGAAACTGTGTGATAATCATTCAACTGAAATGTAAATATTTGCTGCACACAAAGAAATCGAATGGAATGCCTGTGCGTTGCGTCTTAATACGTGTACAGAAACATACCTAGGCCGTGTATGTAGTCCGGACGTCAGTTGATCCTTATCTCCGTTATCAGTGCGGCTGGAGTTCGTATCAAATTTGTGCTTGTAGTTGGGTTTACTGAAAGTTTTGCAGTTGTAAACATATTTACGTAGCTCGTCTGTGGCAAATTACTGTATGCATGTGTCTGTGTGAGTTACTACTTGTTACATATTTAATGGCGCTTACTTTCAGCAATATTCAACATTATTTCGCGTTCGCTTGCTCAGCTGCGCAGCGCATCAAAATGTATGCTTGCGTGTGTGGCATGGGGAAGGGGGTTTCGCATAACCTTTCAGGAACTTTGATCGTTCGCCATTAACGCCGCATTGCGCTTTATACACTTCAATGAAAGTGAGAATAATTCATGACTTATTACTTCTTTGTTTACATAGCTACAAAYATACATACACACGTCACACGCATATTTGCATACTTACACGGGAGTTTGCTGCTGTAATTGTAATTTATAATGAAATTTTTTGTAACGCTTATGAGCTACTTGTCTTCTTTAACATAGTATTGAAAYGGAGCTTATATAATTTGTGATACCTGCGAACATCAAGTTTATAATACACAGAAGGGAACATCTCAGACTCTATAAAATTTATACATACATATATGAATGATCAGCGTGATGAGCTGAGTGGATTTAGACATATTTGTTTGCATATATGCGAACTAGTCGCTMAGTTTCGGCTATAATCGCTTAAGCGGTGTCTCGGTTAATAAAGAAAACGTCCCTCAGTTTTTGAGATATCGTGCTGAAATTTCGCACAGAACCTTTCACCATCAAACAGCTGCTCACTTGTCGAAACTGTCGATATCGGATCACTATAGCATGTAGCTGTCATACAAACTGAACGATCGGTATCAAGTGCTTGTATAGGAAACTTTTTTATTTGATGAGATATCTTCACGAAATTAAGCATGAGTTATTTTGAAAGTCAACGCTACAATCCCCGCATAAATTTTTCAGATCGAATGACTTTAGCATATAGCTGCCATACAAACTGCCCGCTCAAAATTCAGTTTTCGTATGTAAAACCTTTTTATTTACAGAGTTATCTTCATCAATTTTCACATGAATTATTAATTAGAGGAAGGCTACAAACTATGAAGAAATTTTTCAGATCGAAGCACTACAGCATATAGCTGTCATACAAACTAATCGTGCAAAATCCAGGTCTTGTATGAAAAGCTTTTTACTTGATGAGATATCTTCASGAAATTAAGCATTAGTTATTTTCGAGGTCAACGTCATAATCGGCGAATAATTTTTTTCAGATCGGATAACAATAGCATATAGCTATCATACAGACTGATCGCCCAAAATTCAGTTCTTGTAAGGAAAACTTTTGTATTTGAAGTGATATTGTAACAAAATTTGGCATAAACTATTATCTAATATAGTGGTATAAGCTCCAAAGATATTATATAGTGCATTCCACTATAGCATGTAGCTACCATACAAACTGGCCAATCAAAATTAAGTCCTTGTATAGAAAACTTTTTTATTTGACGAAATTTCTTTACCAGATTTCGCATGAGTCATGTTTAGTAGTCAACGCTTTTATCCCCAAACAAATTTTTTAGATCAGTTTACTATAGCATATAGCTGCCATACAAACTCACCGCTCAAAATCAAGATAAGAATTTTTATATACCTATTTTGGCTATACAAATGCAGCTGTGAAGGTTATTTTTGATATTTTCATACCTTTCCCTCCCTCTCAGTGAGTAGAGAAAACTTTAATTTTTATGCCGTTTCTAGCACAAAAGTATCTGTAAATGTATGCATATTTAGTTGCTCGCGTATGTCGAATAAACTATCAAATATATAAATTATAGCCTCTTGACTACTTACTGAAGCGCACTCGAAAAGATAATTATAAACAAAATTTATTTAAAACGGTGAAGATATAATTTCCGTATTCAAGAAACATACCAACGGGTCACAATAACCACAAACAAATAGCAATTTAT